GGTTGATAGCATTGGATCTGCACTAAGAAGGACCGGACGCACATGACATTGATCACCAACCAGTGATCAATCAATTGTGACTAAAATATAGTATTACATGGTTGAATTCTTCCTATTGAAAATGAAACAGAATCTTATATAGCAACTATTCTGTAACCAATTTCGATTATGGGTAGTTTTGTTTAACCCCAATTTAATAAATTAACAGAGAATGTTAATTGAACAGTAACAATTCGTCTATTTCTTTGTACCGTTATGATCACTAGATCACATAATAGGATCTAGCTAAAATGTTGATCGCTAAATTATCGCTAGGTGATTCATTCTCCTCCCCGTGTATATATGTACTCAAATCCTGTCATTAAATTTTACTTAGCCTTGCTGTGCCTTTATGCGATTTGACTATAAATTTGCCTATGTAATTGATCGCATATACATAATTACCTCTCTGCTTCAAATTCGCTTGAAGTACCCATAGCTTTGGTTTGCGCTATCTGCTAATAAACTGTAGTTGCCGCTTATCATTGCCTTCTGATTTGAAACACCGTTGAAATGTATATAATAACGGTTACAAGGGTGATTGATTAACGAAACAAAGCTACTACACTTATCCAGACTAAATAATTTTCACGTTATACAATTTAGATTTATCAATTCAATCTAATGACGCCCAAAATTTCTTAATCCAATTGTGTATGTCAGATCAAAGTCATTCACAGTATAGAGCGAAAAAATATGATAAAACGTCTTTCCTTTTTCTTTTAAAAAATGATCGAATTTAATTGTTATGATTTTAAAAATCCAACTACAGAGATCAAGAGGTTATTGATGTTAGTGGCTTACATAACAAATAATAAGTCGAGACGATCTAGAAAATTGTACTCTTAAATAACAGGTAACTTCGCTTGGAGCATCTCTGGGTCTACTGTCAGTCCCAAGCCCGGATAAAGGAGGAGTGTTGGGGATAGGGTTAGCGAACCCATACTATAGAAAACTAACTCGCTAAAGAAACGCTAACCAGAAAAAATAATTCAAAACATTTCATATCTGCCCTGAGAGTTGAAAGGTCTTCATTTAGAAGAGTTATGACGTCTTATGATGAAAGCAGAGTTCCTTCGGAAGTCACGAGGCTGATGCCTCCTCTGACAACCAGAGCAACTGTTAATTTAGATACACAAAATGTTCGTACAATGTGGGAGACCGGGATAGTCATCCAAGTTGCTGCAAAAATGAAAAAATGCAACCTGGAGGTGCTTGGAATCAGTGAAAAAGATTCGAGTGAGGTTGGACAACAAAGATTAGCTGCAGGAGAGCTGATGAAACAAGAGGTAGAATGGATAGTTGTTAATGGTCCATGTAACTTTACTTTGATTCAGTTCATTTGTCGTTTCTATGATCTAATCAGAAAAATATACACTTCAAGTGGTCGAAAGTTCAGACGAGAAATTCATTGTCTTATTCATCATATTACTGAGTTTATGATAAACCTGTAACGTTTTAACTGTGATATAATTTTAATTATATAGAACTCATATAAATTTTCATATGATGTTTTTCTAGATAAATTTCCCCTTATAAATCGTATTCTTTCCCTTTCAACTTAGATTTATCAACATTGATACGATGGTGTTGTGAAGACTTTCGGAGTTTACGCTTTACATCATGAACTGACTCTACTGAAAATCATGTACTTATTATTGATTAATTACAAAAGCTGACTGACAAGTGAAATTCAGCGAACTCAGATCTAATGCAGTTACACACAAACGACATTGGAATATAGTGCATAAGTTGATATAATAACTGTGAAGTGAATAACGTTAGTATATTAACCGCTGGGTGCCAACTCGGTGGTTTAAAGGTAAAAAAAAATTCCAAACGATGTCTGGAAGGCCTGCGTTAGATTCCCGATAGGGGTATTAAATACTCACTGGTGAGATATCTCATGCTATTAGGAATATACTGTCTAGGATCTCCTTGCTTTCAACAATTTTTGACTATGATAATTTCAAAATACAAAATACGAAACATTTTAATGCGTTGAAACATGTAATATAAGCCATTGACTAAATTGGGAAAACATTTATTTTTGTCAGTCTGCATTACAATTTTTGTTTATCATCACTTTACCAGTGATTCAAATAAATATGAAAATATTATTCACAGGGGAATGCCAATTATCGTTCATTAGTTGAAATAATTTTTAGAAAATGATATAAAACATTATGACTTAATATGAATAGGTAAGCGTTATATGATATAGACAAAAAGGTTTCTTTGGTTTTAGTGAAAACAGATACCTTGTTTTTAAAAATTGAATTTTTGAGTCGATTTGGGCAAGATCATCTTCGAAAACTTGGAAGCACTGGACGGTGGTTTTGTCCTAGTATAGGATGCTTAAGTAGTGTGCATCTACAATCCAACATGTGAGACTCGAACCCAGTACCTTCAATCTCGTGTGCGAACACTTAACCCTTAGACCACTAACGATGTTAATGTGTAACTTCAATCGATTCAAGATCTTGTTTCTAGCATGTTTTTATCATTACTGTAAACGATAAAAATAACCATAAATAGAAAACTAATACATATTACAGGCATAAGTGAAGTTCAAGCGACTAGAATTCATACGTGATGCAAATGAATTGGATTGCTTTTTTCTCATAACTAATTTGTTAGTTTTAAAATACACGTATAAAATAACATTCTGATACATTAAAGAGAAAAGAATACAGTGTGTGTGTGTTGTATTGAAGAAATTTCATGGGACTAATGTCTCAAAGACATAACTTCATATAAACGCACATCGACAGAAGTAAAGAAGTTTTAAACGTATCGTTAATCATTAAATTAAATATTGTAATAAATAAATGTAAAATGAGAAACTTTACATACTCAAAGTATCTATTCATCAATTTAGTTCCAATGGCTAATCACATGATACAAATTGACTATTGAGCAAGTTCTGAGAATCTATGCTATTTGCGTCAGGATCAGATTTGTTATATTGAAGAAATCTATTTTTTATACACCAAAAATGAGATTGATTGTTTCACTTTGATTGTTATTATTATTTGGATTTCTTTTTTTTATTTTAAATACTGACTATAAACTACTTTTAGTTATGAGTAGTATTTGTCAATATTATAATTTAGGATTTCTATAATATTTTGATATGAAAAGTCATGTAATTTTTAATGCATCTCTTTTGTCTTATAGTTTGTTTGGAGATCTCATTTTATTTTTGTAAAGACTGAAGAATATAACTTTAGGCTGGAAAAGTGATAAACACAAATACATTTCTATGGTCTAATTACATAAATGACAACCACAAAGAGATAAATTAACTTCTTTGTCATCTGAATAGTGATTATAATCTATGTATTTGAGGATTGGTGTTACTATCTACTATAAAAAGAATGATTTGTAGTTAACGTTATGGCAAAATAGAAAATTGAGTAAAATATAGGATTTCATTAGGTAGTTCTTCATGTCCCTTTTTCGTATTTTCTTAAAATACTTTTTAAACCTTGTAAAATAAGTCTGTTTGTTACATTGCATATTATATAGCTAAAGAAAAGAATTATAGCTGACTGTACACTATTTTCTTTTAGAAAATTCATTGTGTCTTATAGTGTCCTAGTGGCGAAAAAATATGATAATCATTAAGTAAATATAATGTTCGCTATACTTATTAATTTTCACAGTTGAGTTCACGAGTCTATTTAAACTGGAATATCATTTGAAACCTAGAAACACTAGATGGCCGTTTCGTCTTAGTATGGGAATTTTCAGCGGAGTGAATTCATGACCCCACAGGAGTGACTCGAATCCAGTACCTTCGGTCTCGTGCGCGAATGCTTAACCCTTTGGACCACTGAGCTGGCATCCAACTGTGTTAATGTCTAACTTCAATTAATTCATGACTTTGTAAAATGCTTCATAAATTTTCTGTGGTGGATAATTTTCTTACACTCGATATGGACTGGAATCCACTGGTCGCTGCTTCTCACCAGGACTCAAGGTGTTACATCTTGAAGCGATTCACTAATGAGTATGTGATTGCTACTAGTATGATGAATTGTAAAGATTGTGGTATTTGAATGTACACTTTTCTTATTAAGGAATACTGGTATTACCAACTACAAAGTCACCTTAACCGATAAAATACCCATTGAACAGTTGGATACGTACTATTGAGGATTCCTACACTAGGACGAATCAGCCGTCTTATATTTCCAAGCTTTCAATGATGATCTAGCTTGGATCAAATAATTATTTTAGCAGCAAAAATACCACACTCTTCACAAATCCTCATACTGATAAGATTTAAATATATATTTGAAAACATTTCACTTCTACTGTATGAACTTTAGCAAGTATATTCTAAGCAAGGAATTATTGATTTTTAGTTATACATGTAATGAGATTGTTCTATTGATTTTTGTTAAAAAAACGTATCCTTATTTATTTTTAGTTAAATTAAGAATTAGTTAGATAATTAAATTATTCTAAAATGGTTTCTATAAGTTCCCACTTATAATGTGTATAAGTAAATCAAATTGATTATTCGTTTGAATGGGTTGGAGAATACTGATCGATAGCCTATACTCCATTGGGAGTAACATGCGTAACAAAGTAAGTAAGTAAATAAATAAATCGTTTGATAAAAATCAATATCCAATTTTCAGTCATCTACTGTTTATAACATTTACTTAAGAGATTTAATATTGAATTCATTAATTTTAGGATTCAGTAATTAACAAAATACAAAAAAATCGAATAAAGCGTGTCATTTAGTTCTTTTTTATCTATGGAGAATAACAAATACTTCACTGGAAATACCCTAGTAACAGATTATCAAGTCTATTGAAATGTAATGATCATTTAAGTTTAAAATACCCCCCGCCCATAAAGATTACAATCAATCAATCACCATAATGAATTGAATTTATTAAAGTAACAAAAGATGTATATTACTATTTATTAAAATGACTTACGTATCTGTTATTTTACAACATATTTGTTTCCCTAATGGTCCACAACAATATTTCATATCTTCGGATTGATTAGGTTGTGGACAATAGAATTTTCCAGAATTGATTAAAATAATTTTTTTATTAGTAATATTATTATTATTAATATTTTGATTGTCAAATTTATTCAAATATAACCATTTTTGTTTTGATTCATTTATACACCATATTACTCTACCAATAACTGGTGTCAAATTATCTTTCCATAAATCATTCAATTCATTTGTTATTAATTTATTATAATAAGTAGTATTATTAAATTTTGTTAAAGATAATGATTGATTCATTAATAATTGATTTTCTTTTATTGGTAAACATTTTACAAATATAATATATAATTCAATAAATAATAAAATATAATTAAATTTATTAAAATATATAATGAACATTTTAATGAAATTCATTAACATATAATATTTCATTATAATTATAATTATTTATTGATTTAATACATATATACATATTGATATGATGTAATGATGTTTATTAGTTATGAATAATTACAGAATAATTCGATGGTAGAAACAAGTAGCCCAGATATTCAAGTAGATCGCCAGTACATTTGAATAATAAACAATTCAATAAATATTTTACATGTTTTATTCTATTCATTGAATATTTTAAGAAAGGATTCATTTAACTCATAGAATATATGTGAGTAGTATTAGTTTTTGTTTTCTTCTTCTTATTATTATTATATTTTATTGTTTAATTTAGTGTATTTTGATTGGTTCATTCTTAATTTACAAAAAAACAAAAAAATAAATAATAATCTTCAATTTTATAAAAACTTATTTTTGATTGGTCAATTTTTTCTTTACTTCTTTTGTTTCTTCTTCTTCTTTACATGATTTTTGTCATTATCATTGTTATCAGTTGAGATACCGTTTCAATCTTTTTTTTGTAACAAATTTATATTCATGTTGTACAATAGAATATGTATATACATATCCGAAACATTTGTTAAAGTATTAGTTTTGTGAGCATATATGAACAAGGAATAAACTTGATGATTTAATCGAAAGATTATGACAATATCAGATTATGTAATGTGAATAACAATAATAAAAGTTTATGTGTGTGTGTGTTATCAGTGGATGATGATGTAGATTAAATAAGATGGTTAAAATGTTTTTGTTACGATAATCAAAGGTAATAGAGGTGTCAAATAAAGTAAAATGATATCAGAAACAATTATGCATAAAACCATTGGGATATAAGAAGTAACTGATGAGAGTAGGAGATATTTTCGGGTAAGAAGTATGATAATAATAGTATAAACTCAAGATAAGGATGTGACGCACTTTTTTGTACGCCCAGCTCTGGCTTCAATTCATATACAGAAAGAGAATATGTTGTCCTCAACCGATTTTAAATTACATCAGAAGCTTAGTCACCTATAAATTCCAGATTCATATAAAGATATTTTTTTAAAACGGAATTGCAGGATTCCCTAATCTGACACCTTTTTGATGTTCTTCACTATGATGCGGATGGGATAACCTTTTTCAGACAAGATTTTTGTGAGTCATGTAAACTCCTCGTCAATGATTTCAGTACTATATATATGATGCATTTGGTAATACAATGAGTGAATAAGATTCCTCTTTGTGTTTAGTAAAGCCAGCTATAGAAGTTGGTCAGTTTGATGTTCCATGTTTGTTTACTGTAAACGGACCTTTTTAAGTATTATTGTTATTTTCCTTCCCAATTGCAACAATCAAGTCATAAGATAAATACATCAATCACTGATTTTAATTATTTAACGTTTAGTGTAAAAAATAATCCATATTCCCTTTTTATAAACATTAACCTTATTCATATTGACTTATGTCGTCAATTTTCTCTCAAGAGTTTGTAAGTAGGCTTGAAGTAGAACTGTTCAGTTTGTTTTTATTTGTATTTTACAAAACTATGTGTCAATATAATCTCTAGATTGTATCATGATTTTCGTTTCACTACTATTTAAATACATGACACAATATTTGTTAGATTAAATACTTTAACTAATTCACTTAATTTAAACAGGTGAGAAGATTCTCATAAGCTTAAATCAATGTGTCTATTGTTTTTATTGGCAATAATCTACTGAAGATTTTAATAAAGGTGGAAATATGGTACAGAAGATTTATTTATGTACATGTGTGTATAGTGATGTATTAAAAATACTTGTATAGATGATTTAAACAAAGATTTGTTTCAGTTCCTAATCGGGAAACAAATCTTAGTCATTACCTTTTGCAATTCTGCGAATTGTATATTACTTTTCGGAGCATAGAATGTGAATGGTCCAGATTCATTTAAAATACTAGACTAACAAGAACAGGGAGGCTAGAAATTTATATATGTAATAAGATCGATTATGTTGCATGATTTACGTAATAAAATATATTCATATCCATTCAATATCCTTTCACAGATCATCAGACAAGATAAAACATCAATTTACAAGTCAATCAGAATTTAGTTAGAGACTATTAAACACATCATAAAAGTAGTTATAAAATATGTAGAAGATATTGATGGAGACAGCTCTGTGTTATCGTTAGACTAGAACTTATATGTGACTGAATATGACATTATAGTTTTGTGGAGTCCCAGTCAATAATTTTCACTTTATTTAAGGTTGGAATTAATTATCAGAAGGGGTTTGTGGAGATTCTTAGAAATTTCACAGATTGAAATCATGAGTCAATTAAAGCTAGACCACCATGGAAAACCTGGAAGCACCGTTGGATGCCGGCTCATTGGTTTAATGGTTAAGTGCCTGGCGCGGGACTGATAGGTCCTGGGTTCGAATCTCGCGGGCGACAGGATCGTGGGCTCGCACTGCTGAGGAGTCCTATACTGCAACGAAACGGCCATCCAGTGCTCCCAGGTTTTCCATAGTGGTCTAGCTTCAATTGACTCATGATTTCAACCAGTGAAATTTCTAAAAATCTCCACACAACCCATTCTGACTTAATTAGTATTGTTTATTTTTGTCTATAACAGTTTCACTATTGCCTCAGTTGAATAGCATGAAATATGGTCAATGTTTAATTTTATTATTGAAAACAAAACCAAATCAATCAATGAAACTGATGTCAAATTAGAATGAAAGGTACATTCAGACTGGGATAGTATCTCTACTCAATCAGTGTAGTACGTTATAATGTTTATAATAGAAATTAATTTCGGAATAAATTCTCAAAGGGTTCAAATGAACAAACATAATGAATGAAAACGAGAAATTTAAAAGTGAGACAACTATTGAATAATGACCACCAATGATCTCCTAAGTTTATACAAATCTATCAAATATGCAAATGCGGATACTCACTTACTTAATTACTTACTTACGCATGTAAATATCTATATTATTTGGTCCCAATTGCTTGCCTAGTTACCCCTCATGGAGAAGCATAGGTCGTATATGTATATATATAATCCAGAAAACTGAATACTGTTTCTGTACATATTTTATAACAGATAAATCCATTTAAAATTAAAACAAAATAGATACTTTACATTCCTGATTTTTGATCATGCTTTATAAAAGCTACCCACCAACATTCTCCATCCAATTCTGTCCTGGACAATCCTCTCCAGTCGCTATTCACCCTTTCTATGTCTGCTCCCAATTCTCGACGTAGAGTGTTCTCTGACCTTCCTCTTTTTCGTTTCTCATCAGGATTCATAGTTAGGGCTTGCCTTGTGGTACAGTTTGGTGAATTCCATAATGCATGTCCTAGCCCTTTTCATTGTTTTTTCCTAATTTCCTTTTCAGCTGCAAGCTCGTTTATCATCTCTCACAGAAGGTTGTTACTGATGGTATCCAGACAACGAATATTCAGTACCTTATGTAAAGGATTGTTCATAAATACTTGTACTTTTTTCACAGTGGTTGTGGTACTTCTCCAAGTTTTAGCTCCGTACAGTATGACTATCTTGATGTTCGTATTGAGGATTGTGAATTTGATATTAGTTGACAGACAGTTGTTTTGAGTTCCACATTTGTTCAATTGTAGGAATGCGGCTCTTGCTTTGCCAATCCTCGCCTTTACGTCTGCATCAGATCCTCTTTTTTCATCAATGATGCTTCCCAGATACATGAAAGTTTTCCCATTTTCCAGAGTTTCTCCATCAAGTGTGATTCAGTTGATGTTCACTGTGTTGTATTTGAGGATCTTCGATTTTTCTTTGCGTATGTTGGGATCTAATGATGCAGAGGTTGCTGCTATACTATTTATCTTAATCTGCATAGTAGAATTAAAATACAAAAATGTTAAAATCTCTTAATCACTGAAAAAATCTGGTTATATTTCATTGTAAAGGAAGTTAAGAGGAAACAAGAAGAACAACTATACATGTCTATTTAACTTACAGTCTACGTTCATGTGACGTTAGTTCTCGTTGGAAATTACATCGAAATATAGGAAAAAAAGGTTTGCAAATAACCATATCAATTTTTAAAAAAAACCATTTTAAATCTAGAATAACGGAAATAAAATAATATTAGAAACAATGAATTCATTTGATCTATATGGTTAGAAATAAGTTGATAGTTTAAAATTACACTCATGAATGAACTCATTTAGTGTTTTTAACAGTTTAAATGAATCTATGTGAATATATTTACAATAATTAGTAATTAAATAATATCAGAAGGGGTTTTTTGTGTGGGTTTCAGTAATTTCAATAGTTGAAATCATGAGTCAATTGAAGCTAGACCACCATGGAAAACCAGGTGCGCATCCAACTGATAGGTCCAGAGTTTGAATCTCGTGGGGGCGGGCGTTATCGTGGATGCACACTGATGAAAAGTCCCATACTAGGACCAAATGGCCGTCCAGTGCTTCCATGTTTTCCATAGTGGTCTAGCTTCAATTGACTCATGATTTCAACTAGTGAAATTAAATAATAGTTGAATTGTTGATACAGCATATATATTATAAGCTGGAAAACTAACACGCCAAAAATTCATCTACATTTATCCTATCTCAAAACTATCAAAATTTTAAATAGATTTTCATCTAGTCTATGACAGTTAAAAAATAAAAATAAAATGAAATCTTTCAAAATTGATTTGAGCATATAAATTGTTCAGTGCTTCCTGGTTTCACATGGTGGTCTAACTTTAAATGACTCATGAATTCAACTATAAAATTACTAAAATCTCCACAAATCCCCGTTCTGATAATAACCAACATATGCTCATTAGTGACTGGCTTCAAGAGGTATTTTCTGGAGTTCTAGTGAAAACTTGTGACCAGTGGTACGCAACCAGGTCTGTTGCGAGATAGTAACTCACTAAACACAATGGTGGAAGGTGCTCGATTTCGTGGTTTGGTTGAAGTTAGACACTAACACCGTTGGATGCCGACCGACTCAGTAGTCTAGAGGTTAAGCATTTGCGTGCAATATCGT